GAGCTTCGAGGATCGAGTGGGGTCGAGGAGGGAGGAGGAGGTTCGGGATCGAGAGTCGAGGACGCGAAACTTCCCGCGCCCTCGTGGAAGGTTTCGCGTGTTCCTCGGGCACTGGCTGGCATGGTGGTTGTGGCGCAGGCAACAGGCTTTAGGCACATGCGCCCGTGATTGTGGCGACTAGCCCAGCGGGGACCAATAGACCGCACCTCGGCAGGGTCGGTCGGATCACTCGTTGGCCGCCCGCGGGCATCTAGTGACCTTCGGCATATCCCGCCTCCTCTGCCTGGGTCTTGGACAAGAGGCCTCTCAGAAACCTCTTGATGGCCCTTGGGAGGGGGGCCCTCTTCGAGGAACGAGCTCGAACTTACAGTTACTTCTCTCCCTCTCGGGGCTTTCTCGGGGCAGGCTGTGGGGGCCGCTGGGGCCGCCCCGGACGCCCCTCAGACTTAACAGCCCATCGTCGTATCACCATGCGCGGCGTCGCCCTCCACGGGCAAATGCCAGCTCAGCGCACGGAGACCTGGCTCCATGTTGCCCCAGGGCCTCCCAGGAGGCCGAAGAGTCCCTCGGTGAGGCCTCCGGGACGGGCCACGGGGACATGAGGAGGCCACGCTCGAAGCGATGCCTCTGAACCCGTCACGCAAGACGCCGCGGCCCGCCTCGTCCTCGCCCTCCTCCTCGTGCTCCTCCTCCTCCTCCTCCTCCTCCTCCTCCTCCTCCTCTTCGTCCTCGTCCTCGACCTCGTCCTCGACCTCGTCCTCCTCATCCATCTCCTCCTCCTCCTCCTCCTCCTCCCCCCTCCCCTCCTCCTCCCCCTCCCTCCCCTCCCTCCCCACCTCTCCCCTCCTCCTCTCCTCCTCCTCATCCTCCTCCTCCTCCTCCTCCTCCTCCTCCTCCTCCTCCCCTCCTCCTCCCCATCTCCTCGTCCCCCTCCCCCTCCTCGTCCTCGCCCTCGACCTCGTCCTCCTGAGCCCCCCTCCTCATCGGCCCGAGGGCGCCTGAAAGTGTGGGGGGTGCCCCGAAGAGGCCTCACCACTCGCACCACTCGGTGGCGCGTCGGCCCCAGACCTACCCGACGCGTCAGCCCGCGGACCTCAGGGTGAAGTCGGGCATGTCCCCCTGCAGGAGGCATCTTCGAACATAGTCATCTAGGAGTCTGGGAACGTTTTTTGTATGTGTTTTTGCTTTTATTCTATACACATATTCATGTATGTGTGCGAATTTGTGTAAATAGTTGTTGTTGGGGTATGTTATGAATCCGGTTCGAGTCTTTTCCATTCTTCGTCCAAGATCCGCCTGTAGGAGGACACGCCCGACCTCTTTCCAGTGGTTCTGTGGGCGGCCCCGGGGCTCAACGCCGCCCTCCGGGGGCCGAGGTCGGCGCTTCGAGCCAGCCGCCTCGGCTCCACCGAGGCGCCCGGTGCCTGGGCCCAGACAGCTGGAAGGGACCCGGGGGCACTCCACTCGGCGCCGACGGCACGGTGGCGGGCACGTTTTTTGTTTAAGCGGTATATGTATACATACATACATACATGCATGCATGCATGCATGCATACATACATACATACATGCATACATGCATGCATGCATGCATGCAGGCATACATACATACATACATACATACATACAGACAGACAGACAGACAGACAGACATACATACATAGCTTATGCATTATTTGTGAATTTTAAGAAATCAGGCATGCCGAAAATCTCAGGCATGCCGACTATCTAAGAAGAAGGATAACACATAAACATAAACTTGTGGCGCTCCGCGCGGATTTTTGGGATCCGCGCCTGGGCCCGCCCGGCGGCGCCTCCGGCGCCGCCCCTGGCGCACTCCGCGCGCCAGGGAGGGAGGTCCAGCGCGGATCCGAGAAATTCGCGCGGAGCGCCAAGAGTTCATGCTTTAGCCTTTTTTGTTGTTTTTGTGTGTTTTTGTTTTTGCTTTGTTTGTTCTTCTAGACACGGTGGCGGACACGGTGCCTTCACACTAATCAGGCATGCCGAATAAGAAGTTGGCCTGCCAGCAAGCGCCCCACGCAAATGTGTCATATCCCAGCATGGCACTGGAGGCCCACAGAAGCTCCCGGGCACCTTGGGACCCTCGAGGATCGTCGAATAATGTCCCGCCAGCCTTCTTATAGCATGATTTTTGTTGTACGTGCCTCATCGGCTCTCAGTTCTCAGTTCTCATCGGGTCTCAGTTCTCATCGGGGGGACTGCGTACTACCCAAATCGTGGGATCACGCTCTGTGGCGTGACAGCGAGGTGCTCGTGTGCTTCGGAGTGAAGGGTTCATGAAGCGGTCCTAAACGCTGCCTGATTAAAAACATGTTTTTGTCGTACGTGCCTACTGCATTCTCCCACGTAGCTGCGGCGCTGAGGTCAAGCGTCGCCTGCGCCACCCAGACTGGCGCATATGTCTCCCTAAATCTCTTCGACTCGTCACCATGGGGGATGTGGGTCCTGAGGGGAACGGGTCCTACGGTTTCTCGTCGTTTTCGGTCCCTCGTGGCCCTCCACTGGCCCTGGGGCGGTCAGGAAACGACTCAGGAAGAAGATCTCGCCCTGGGGGGAGGCACCAGGGTCCAGGACCCGTTTCCCTCAGGACCCATTTCCCTCAGGACCCGCTTCCACCATGCTAAATCATTCTCAGATCTTCCGACTTCCCCTTCGTCTCCTTCCTCCAGTTGCCCGCCCTCCTCCTCATCTTCGCTCCTTCCTCGATCTTGCTCATCCCCCTCCTCTCCCCCCGCCTTTCCCTCCTCCTTGTATTCCTGCCGACGCCGTTGAGCCCCCCATCGGAGGGCCGCAGCATCCAAAGCAGTGGTATCAGTCCAGAGCGATCCCGCCTCCTGATTCCTTCTTCTCTCCCTCGTCTCCCTCCTCCTAATCCATCTCGTCTTCCCCGACCTCCTCCTCCTCCGCCTCCTCCTCCTCCTCTTCTTCCGCTCTCCCCTCTCCAGTTCTCTTCCCTCCTCCGTCACCGTTCCTCTTCTCGTGCTTCCCATCCTACTCTTCTTCATCCGCATCCTCCATTCTCTACCTTGCGCGGGAGGGGGGAGTTCCAGAGCACAGGGGCACAGCGCAGGAAGAAACCTCCGCGCAGAGCGTCGAGGATCGACGCTCTCCGCCGTGCCATGGACAGTGGCTGGGCCTCCGGAGGCCCCGGAGGCCTCCGAGCCGCCGTGCCCGTGCAGCAGCGCAGCAGGCAGGAGGCTCAGCGTAGGAGCACAGCCTGCCCGGGACCAGCGTGGCGCGTGCACACGGGAGGTGCATCCCTCGCAGGCCTGGAGGTTGGCACCAGCACCGCTGTCGGCGTTGTGCCTCCGCCGAGGGCAGGAGATGCAGATCTTGGTGATGGTGGTAATCTTCAGTCGGGCCTGTCCCCCCACAGGGGATTTCGACGAAAAATAAAAGATAGTCCAAACATAATAGAAAAATAATTCAAACATAGTCTGGGGACTATTATTTAGTATGTTTAGACCTTTTCGTTGTATTTTAAAAAAAATATCCGTAAGGGCTTCGCCCCCTGCCGCCGGCCCCCTCTCTCGGAGAATGGGCCATGGAAGAGCTAAGTCATGAGGCCTTGGCGCTGTCGTGAAGCAGTATCGAAACTTCATGCGAAGCCGATTCGCAATCAGCAAAACCAACTGATCACAAGAGGGGTTACCACACCTGGCGATTGGTAAGACGTGTATGGTTTACGGGCTTGGTTACCACACCTTGCGATTAAAGGGCCGAGGGAGTTCTCGCAGTTTGGGTTACCACGCCTTGCGATGGATGTGCGTGAAGGGTGGCACCGAATTTCAGAAATGTGGCAAATCCCCTGTGTTTTTGGACCCTGACCCCGCGGATCTGCGTGAGGGGTGGCACCGAATTTCAGAAATGTGGCAAATCCCCTGTGTTTTTGGACCCTGACCCCGCGGATCTGCGTGAGGGGTGGCACCGAATTTCAGAAATGTGGCAAATCCCCTGTGTTTTTGGACCCTGACCCCGCGGATCTGCGTGAGGGGTGGCACCGAATTTCAGAAATGTGGCAAATCCCATGTGTTTTTGGACCCTGACCCCGCGGATCTGCGTGAGGGGTGGCACCGAATTTCAGAAATGTGGCAAATCCCTTGTGTTTTTGGACCCTGACCCCGCGGATCTGCGTGAGGGGTGGCACCGAATTTCAGAAATGTGGCAAATCCCTGTGTTTTTGGACCCTGACCCCGCGGATCTGCGTGAGGGGTGGCACCGAATTTCAGAAATGTGGCAAATCCCCTGTGTTTTTGGACCCTGACCCCGCGGATCTGCGTGAGGGGTGGCACCGAATTTCAGAAATGTGGCAAATCCCCTGTGTTTTTGGACCCTGACCCCGCGGATCTGCGTGAGGGGTGGCACCGAATTTCAGAAATGTGGCAAATCCCCTGTGTTTTTGGACCCTGACCCCGCGGATCTGCGTGAGGGGTGGCACCGAATTTCAGAAATGTGGCAAATCCCATGTGTTTTTGGACCCTGACCCCGCGGATCTGCGTGAGGGGTGTCGATTTCGAGCCCCCCCAGCAATTCAGACAACGCGCCCAGGGGGTGCTAAAAAGCCGGTTTGGGCCTCCCCCCCCCCTCGCGCGGTCAATCAATTAGTTATAGTAACCAGCAATAAGTCAACTAGTCACAGTAACCAGCAAGAAGCAGAACTGTAACACTGGAAACTACAAGCTACAACTGGTACAGCAAACTGCGAACCTCGCTCCTACAGCCTGGTGGCCCCACAAGGGGGCCGGCGGATTTTTCGTTGAAAATCCCTCTGTAGGGGGACACGCTCGACATGATATTACCACCAACACGGGAATCTGGGATCATCTCTCCCCTGTGGAGGCGCCGCCCCGTGCTGGTGTTGGTGCCCCATTCCAGGCCTCCAGATCCCCGCGGAGCTCCGACCATTTCTGCTCGTCCGTCTGCTCGCTGACCGCAGCGGCAGCTGGGCTTTCGCCGGGGCCCTGCCCAGAGGTTTTTGAGACCGCGCCCCTGGACTGCCAGGATGGCCGGTTGAGGCCAGGAAGGACTCCGCTGGCGGCTCTCCTGCGGAGGCCGTTGTCCCCAGGCAGCCTCTGGTGCTTCTCGGTCGCGCGCGGGCGCGAGCAGGTTGGGCCGAGCGGCGGGGGATGCCGTCGGTTAGGCGATGGCTGTGCCCAACCTGTCCACAGTTGTACTGTTCGTAGCTTTCTGGGGGTGCCGCGAAGTCCCGTCTGGATGCGCGTACACCCCCAGTCCGAGAGGTCCGGAGAGTAGCGGTATCGGCGACGGTGTCGGTACCTTTTGGTTTCACCGTTCTCTCACGGGTGGGATGGCATCGCCCGTATGTCGGTGCCATCCGCCAGTTACGTGGCAGAGTAGTCTGCATTGGGGAGAACCGTGATCCCGACTTCGTCTTCGTCCGCGCGGTAGGGAGGAGGATCAGGTTGTTGGGGACGGGCCTGAAGCCAGATCACCTCCTCGTTCAGCCAAAATCGGACGCCTCCGAGTCTGACTCGAAACCGTTGTTCGAGGCTCGGAGGGAGGCTGCACCTAGGTCCTTGACCCAGGGTAAATCCGACACTGCAAGGCCGAACGAATCCAAAACCTGCTCTCGCGGGGCGAAGCCCCCCGCGAAGCCAACAGTGGCAGGACCTGAAACTCCCTGGGGGGCCTGGCCATCCTCCTCCAGCGTCTGAGCCAAAACCCTCCGCTCGGCGAGGCTAAGGCTCACGTGAGCCCCCAGAGTTAAATTCTTCAGGTCCTTCTTGTACGACGGAAACTTGCCCTGCCGAATCCTTCTCAGCTGGTCGTTAATTCCGCCCGTCGTCGATTTGGGCCTACACAGGCCTTTAGCTTCAGCATTGGGAGCCCCAGAGAAAAACGATCCGCACCGACAACAAAACTGGATCCTACCCCTGGGGTTTCCAGGAGGTTCCAAGACAGGGCAGGCCAAAAACGCATGACCGTTGGCCCGAAAAACTTGCCGAGAGAAAGGCCGCCACTCCTCCCCCAAGTCCAAAGAACCTCCCACCTCCCTTTGGTCGTCGGCCAGGGCCTGGCCGTGGGCATCATCGTTATGTGGATGCTGCCGCTGGCCATCGCTGCCTGCCGACCTGGGCACTAGGCCCGTTAAGTCACGGGGCCCACTGGACATCAGCACCTCGACCGATCCAGCCCACCTGCAGGCCTCGCGGGCGAGGCACCTGAGGCCTCTGTACAAGTTGGCCTCATCGTCACTGACCCCATGACACTCAGCTCCTAATTTAGCGAACATATCAGCGAGCCCATTGGCCCGTCTTTCCCAAACACTGCTTCTGCCAGCCTCGACGTCGGCCGCAGAAGCGTGGCCGAGCGTCTTATGACACTCGAAATCGCTGAGAGTAAACGAGCTCCACACGGGGCCCCACAGATGACCACGGGGGGCTCCAGGGCCCTCCGCGAACCCAGGGCCCCGAGCCAGCGAATCCAGAGTGCTCTGGCAATCAATATAGCATTGAAACGGGGGAAGACCTACTTGCGTAAGCATATATACAGCATAGTCTTCCCCGTCTTTACTAGTTTGCTGCGGGGCCGCACTCAGTGGAACGGGGCCGTAAGCCGCCGAGATCAACTCCCCAAACTTGTCGACCGACACGATACTCCAACCAGCCCGAGTGAGCCCATCGAGGCCCATGTATTTAGCCGACCCGTCAAGGAAGAGCAACCCCGTCAGGAACCCCGTCTCGGGCCTCTCGTGCCAGTGAACAGATTGCGTGGGCTCCTCTACGTCGAAGAGCGAGCGAGGGTGAGGAAAGATGCACCTCGCGAACCTCTCCGCCATCAGCGGCCCGAACTGCTTCACTCTCCGCGCACACCTACACAAGTGAACACTCGCAAGGTCTCGCCGCAGGACTTCATGCGCAGGGCACTCGTACTGACGGTGCCACAAAGTACCTGGGGCCCCCTTGCACACCTGACACTGATCATCATCGTGAAGGTTGTGAGCATGCAGTCGAGCTTGGGGCCAATGAACTCCCGAGACCAATCCTCTTAAGCATCTCTGATGGTGCTTCCCCCAGTCTCCAGACTTCTCCCTGAACAACCTGGAAATACCATCCCAGAAGATAGGGTGCACAGGCGGCCCATCAAGGCCATTCTGCAAGTGAAGAGCATGTCTATCTGACGCTCGCACAGCACCTTGCCTGACCAAAGTCCTGACCTGCATCGGGGAAAGCCTGAACAAGTCATGCACCACATTCAAGTCATCTTTGATGGTGTGCTGGTCTACAAAGTCCCAGCCTACCCCTCGCAACGTTAAAAGCGCGACGTCGCTGGGAGAAGACGCTGACCCCCAAGGCTGAGCTGAATTCTGAAACTTGGCGATCGAGACCCTCATGGTATTGGCCAACACCTGAACGTGAGGGACAGCTTCCCAAACAGCAGTGGCCCACATAAAAAGAACGTGCCCCACATAAACCACCAGAGGGTCTACCTTGGCCCCGAGCCCGTACGTGTACATCCTGAGCCCAACCGAAGCACCTTTAGGGAGCCTGCCTAGGGAACTTGCAGCACCAATACGGAGCCCAGCCATTTTTGTAGGGGCCACCCCAGAGACCGAGGATCCCCAGAGGGCCGATGCCACGGGCCCCATCCTGTGAACCATACCGATGTCGGCTCCAGCTCCTTGCAATATCTTGAGCCTCCTGGCCCTGCGCGAAGCACCTGCAAACCTTGAGTTTTGAATTCCAATCCTGCGGAGGCCTCCCAGGGTAGCGTTGGTCCCAAGATTCCGCGCCGTGTCGGTGCGGCACGAGGTGGGAAGGGACCAGGCCTTGGACAGGTGCGCCTCCACCTCCTTCGAACAGAGGTAGGCACACTTCTTAAACTCCACGGGAAGCTGCAGCTGCTTGAAGCTCTTGAACAGAGACTCTACTCCACCAGCCAATTGGGCCGCAACCTGAAGCTTGGGCCCGCAACTCTGAACAGTCATGTCGTCCACCACATTGCGCACATACAACAAGTTCCTGCTCTCACGGGCCTCCAAGAGCGGTCCTAGAAGCAACATCTCGGCGAAAGTCGTGGCCCCCGAGCACCCGGCTACGATCGCCCCGTTCGACTCGACGACGGCCGACGAAGCTCCCCCGTAAAGAAGCACACGGTAGCCTGCATAGATGGCACAGTAAGCTTTGACCAACCTAACTGGAAAGCCAAACCGTTTAGCTGCTATCAGAAGGTCCCCGTGGTTAACATTCTCATAGAACTTAGCCAAGTCCAAGAGTGCCGACGCTGATTCGAAACCTGCTTTACGACAATGAGCCCCGAGCAAGTTGTGGACCCATCCAGCCCTCTCACACGTAGTGTCGGGCCCAGAGCCCCAGAAAAACTCGTGCACGTGGGACTTTTCCCATGAGCGGCAATACGGCTGCCTCAAACGGCTCCAGAGCTTCATGAAGAGGCAGAGCAATCCGATCGGCCTGACCCCTCCCGTCGGTTTGTCCAAGAAAACCACATTGGTCAGAAACATCAGGAAGGCCCCAGGGTCAACCTCGAAGAGCGTCAAGATCTCCAGAAGACGAAACTGATGGCTTTCGGGCAGCTGCAATACCCACCTCGGGTGGAATCCATCCCAGCCTAGGCCCGCCGCGGGCCCGTACATCCTGCAAACTCGGTGTAAATCCTCCAGTCTGAGCGGGGAAAGGGCAGGCTCGTCGGCAGGAACTTCCCAGGAGCTCGGTGCGGGCCCACGGCCAGCTCGAAACCACATCGGATGCCACGCATCGAGAAGCTCTTGCACTGCGGCCTGACCAGCCACTGGAAGCCGAGGATCATCTGACATACCTCGCGAAAAAACACTCGAGACCTGTTGCTTGGAGAAGGCGTGAGCTGCTTTACCACCTCCAGAGACGGCACTCTTGGCCCATTCCTTCCACTTAGCCAGCTGCGAAGCGGCGTCCAGCCGCTGGCGACGAGTGCACTCTTTGCAGATGGCCCCATTGACGTCGTCGTTCCAGGATCCTTCCCCCGATGCCGCCATGACCATGGTGTGCAACTGGGCCTTGGTGGGCCCCTCTTCAGTCAGCTGGAGGTCATCCAAAATGTCGAACAGCTTAAGCTTCCAGGATCCCAAAAGAGCTCTCCCCTTGGCGCCTGGGTTCCCAGCACTGATAGCTTTTGCCTTCCTGAGCATGGCCTCGAACGAGATCCAGCAGACAGTCTGCTTCGAGAAACGTCGACGGTGATCTCGCTCTAGCAGCGCAGCTAAGGGAACTTTCCGAGACTGGGGCCCGGCGGAGCGACCAACGTACCCTTTCTGATCACATATCCCATGAATTTCAACCAGGCGAGCTTCGGCTTCCCCGAACCACTCCCGAGCTAGCGAGTCCAAATCTGAGTCTAGAGGGTCGCTCCATTGGATGTCCCTTTCCTGCGGCAGCGGCCCCATGAGCGCGGTGCTGAACGGCTTGAAACGCGTCTGCTGCTGGACCACAGCCGTCTGGCAGAGGTTACCCAACCGAAGCAGCACAGGGCAATGGGGAAAAGGCGGCGCTCCTTGGATAGCCTGGACATCCTTAATGCATGAACTGATAGCCGATGACACGACGAAGTAGTCTAGCTCCCTTCCTCCTCCGTCATGCTCCGTCAGCTCATCCTCCTCCTTATCTTCTCCCGTGGCAGTCCTAGGAGCGCAGGCCGAGCAAGTTGCCTGGCCAGGAGCGGCTAGCACACCGTGCACATGCTGTATCCAGCCTGATAGCTGGAGAGCCGCGGGCGTGAAGTTCCAATCACCTTGCACAACCCACGGACGCTTACTGCACAATAGGAGCGCTCCCAACACTTCCAAAATCTTTAGATTCTCGCCCGTCACGCCTATGTCGTTGACAAGATAGACACTGTAGATCTCAAGGCCCTGGTCGAACCCCGCATTGATGACCCGACCTACGATCCTCCCGTCGAACCTGCCCACTCCTGGAAGATCCAAGGGCCTCGAAGCAATCTCCCCAGCAACCAAAATACCGACTCC